AAGCGAGATTAGTTGCTACCATTTATCCCTTTCATGTTTCAATCATCAAGATGTGTCAATTAAAATCATTTATTACTCATTTACCTTTTAGTTAAGCCTAAATATTAATTAGGGCTTAAATTTTAAAATTACTTTTTCTTGAGGCTTTAACTCCATATAATTTATTAAATTGAACCCAAATGACTTCAAAATTTTTATGTTACCCACTCATGAGTTAATTAAAACATCAGAGGAGAAAATGTGATTTTTTCGAAAATTATTTAATTTATAATTATTTTAATGCAAAAATATTGATTTTTGATGAAAATTCAATAACTTAACCAAAACAAAACCTCTGTTCTTAAGAAAAATGCTGGAGGTTCACCTAGGTCAGAGGACCACTTCGAGCAATTTTCATGATTTTTATAGGTTTAATTTAATTATTAGAATTATTTGTTTGTTTTGAGTGTTAATTAAATATAAAATATTATTTAAGTAAAAAATTAAGTTTTATATTTTTCTTAAATCTCTCTAAGGTCGGGAACCCAGAGAAACAAATTTCATATATTTGTGGTTTATATTTTAATTTTTAAAATTATTTTAGTGGAAAAATTAAAGAAAATTCATTTTAAGCCTTTAAAAATTAATATCTTGACTTAAAATTAGAAGAATTATTTTAATGGGTCCAAAGTGATCAGGAAGTCAAATGTGACATTTTGGTGTGTTTTTAAGATCTTATAATATTTATGATTTTTAATTATTTAAATATTTTAAATGACTTAAAAATAAAATATTTATTTTAATTCAACTTTTATTTTTCTTAGGTTCCTCTTGTAATAATAATTTGATGATTTTTTGAATTGTATTTTAATTATTTTAATTATTTTAGTGTCAAAATTGCAATTTCACTTAGTTAATCTATTTTAGTGGTTTAATTAATTTCAATTGACTTGAAATTTTTATGGTGAGTTCATCTGATATTAAATTACAATGTAGAGTAGTTTTTGTGCCATTTACTTTTATATTTTGTCAAATTTAATTATATTTCATTTTTAGGGTTTAATGACAATTAGGGTTATCTTTAACGGGTCAAACAAAGTTTATATTTTTCATAGGGTCCTTTGACCACAATTAATCTATCAAAACAAGTTTTATATTTTTCTAATGAATATTCTAATTTTTATAATTATTTTACCAAAATAGACATTACATGCTTGAAAAATAGAGATCTCTGCTTAGAGACCTCCCCTGGCCTTGGAAAAATCAGCGAAGATCCCTCATGACAGAGAGATCTGAAGCCCCAAAAATCAAGTCATGGTGAAATGTCAATGCAAACGGAGAATCCAAATAAGGAATACACTATTTTATTAATTAAAAAATACACATGCATCAAACAGGCATAAAACCAGTTCCATATTATTCTTTTCTGTTCATTGATCATGAGGGTATTTTTTTTTATTTTTATGATTTTTCTATGAAAGATATGATATTTTGAAGTTCTGGTCATTAAATAAATCAGAAAATCCTGATTTATTTTCTTATCCAGCTCAACACCAACACCAGCGCATCCTAGGCAGCCTCGAACCGCGCATGCGTTCGCTTCTGGTTGGGCGCCGCCAGCTAAGACAGCCTGCTGTACACGCACCGAGACTTCATCCAATGCAGTCTCCGTCGTCCGTCCGATACACACGCGATTTGATGACTCTTCATCATCGTCTCCAAGTTCCCCAACCCGTGACCGTCCACATTCTAACCTTAATATCTCGCTCGATACTCAACCAAATCTCTTTGGGTTTGTTTCCATAGACGCGTCTAGACTAGGGGAACACATCCATGCGGTTAATCAAGTCCTAAATCGGGTTTATGAACATGAAGAATTAAAATAGGCTTGGTTTGAGGAGAAAACTCAATACAATCGATTGGATGCATTCAAAAGCTTGAGTTGAGTCCAGAGAGCTTTTAGATGAAGCCTTGGACCGTGGTGAATTGCCTAGGTACAATTTGGACCAAAGCCGATTTGAGGTGTTGATCAAAGTCTATGTTAGGGTGGTCTGATGATGGGGCCTTTGTGAGCGATCTTCTTCTTTCACTCAGGGGATGGTGTGGGTGCAATTAATTTAACTTTGGTGCACTGTGGAGCTGTGATGAAGTATGTCCTAGTTTCGGCCTGATTTTGAGCTCCAAAATTGAACTCAGGCAGTGGGTTTGAGGGCTGATGAGTGGCTAAGGATGATGGGATTGTTCTTAGGAAGCCTTAAAGGAGCTCTAGTGAAATTTTGACAGAGTTTGGTTAAGGTTTTGGTTGGTCTCCCCTCTGGCCGTAGAGTAGTGGGGTTTAAATAGAGGGGCTTGGATGCTGCAATTGGGCTAACCAGTTGGTGGCTCTGGTTGCTCAGGTGGAGGGAAGTAAGGGGCAAAAATCCAATTGGAGTGAGTCAGCTTGGTTGGGTGTAATTTTGAGTTTAACTCCTTGCTCCTCCTTGGCCATGGTGTTTTCCGGTAGCCAAGGTGGCTGGCCGGTCAGGGTCAGGTCACCATTTGGTCAGCGGGATCAGGGCTTGGTTTTGGTGAAGTCAATTGGGATTGGCCATGTGTAAAAATCTTGGATTAAAGAGGAATGGCGTGAACCTATTTTTAGGTCAATTTGGGTCAAAGCATGGATTTAGGTTGGGCTCACCCACCAAGGTTGGTTTGGGCTGAGTTTGGGCTGAAGAGGAGATCATTTGGCTCAGCTTAATTAGTGAGGAGAGGTCCCTCTCCAAAGGATTTGGCTAAGCATGGGTTATAGTGTGTCATCTTAAGGGAGCTTGAATGTGGCTCCTTATTTTGCCATTAATAGCTTGGTGAGGTGGCAAAGACTCATATGGCTCACCTATGGCTTGGGGATGACTTCATGACTTGTCATTTTCTTTCGTTTTTTCTTGCCTTATCATCATCATGCATTCCTTCCATTATCTTTTTCTCTTTGCCCTTTACAATAGAGGAGGCTCGAATTAAAAGCCTTGCCACTGCTGGAGTTGGCTTGAAGCCGACTTTGGTGCTTCTCCATCCTCACAAAAAGCCAGTCGACAACAAAGAGTGCATGGTTCATCGCTCAGTCGCCCCTGTGGAGTTCCATGAGGGAACAACAGAAAGGAGTGAGGTGTTCCCGAGGACTCTACCTCGCCATTTGGATGAAGTAGAGGCTTCCTTACGCCAGTGGCTGGATGCACAAGCTAGCCTTGAAGAAGTGCAGGCAAAGGTGACAGCCCTCTTCTTGAAAATGTCTGAGATTCAAGAGGAGGCATTTGTGTAGAGGTCCTACACTGAGACCGATTAAGCGAACCAGTTCAATCTTTTTTGGGCAAATTTTTTATATGCGTCTGCTTAGGAAGGTACTTGCTCCGTCTGAGGCGACCTAGGACCAGTTTGTAAGGTTCGTTTTGTCGGATTAGTTCGAATGTAACTTTTATTTTTGAAATAAAAAATTTTTGTTTTATTTTCTTTTTGCTTTTATTTGTCTTATCGTGATGTTTTTCATCTAAATTGATGCGCGACGATTCATCTTTCATAATATCCCTATAAATAGATGTTGAGAGCCTGCGTGCTTCGTCATTTTACTTGTTTTCTTTCGCTCGATTTTCACAGTTTGCTCGGTTTCCTATTCACTCATTTTTCTAATTGCCAAATGCTGTGGAGGCACCATCGATCATCTTTTTTCCAAGATGAGGGGCGTGGTGTGTTCCTCGACCGTTGGGGCTGGCTATCCGTATCGATGGAGTGTTTCTCACCTCAAGTCAAAGCCCCTCTTAAGAGGATGGGGACGGGATTTCTCGGTTATGGAATTTGCTGCTGCATGAACTCCTCTGTGTACTACATGTTAGGAGCCTCTCTGTGGTAGGATTCTCTTTGATGAAACTCCTTTTCTTGTTGATGGGTGATCTACGCTCAACGCACCTTTAAGGATGTTGAATCCGGATTTATCATGTAAATCACACCCAAGGGATAGAGCGTTGGGAACTTGGAGGGAGAAACAAAGAGAGGGAAAGAGGGAGGGAAAAACAAAGAGAGGGAAAGAGAGGAGGGGGAGAGTGCACAGGGAATTGGCCCTCAGGGCCAAAACGGGGTATTCCCGAGCTCTTTATCTCCTTCTTATTCATCAAATGGTTAGGTACATAGAGGGACCCAAAGGTCCCATAACATGGAAGGTACCTATTTATAGAGAATAGAAGAACGAAAGATAATAAATGAAATGATTACCCCTACTTTACAAGGGGTTGTACAAGACATTTTGGTCTTTCACAGTTTTGGACCTGCTGCTCGACAGGCCCTCGAGCCGGTTGGGTGAGCTGGCTTCGGTTGATTTTTGCCCGAACAGTCAGCCGAAGCTTGAATCAGGACGTCTGTCTGTCCTTTGATCGTGATAGCCAATCGGCTCTTGGATTGGTCGTCAACTTGTTTGATTGCCGGTTTTTGGTAATCTCTAATGGATCTTCGAGGGAGGTTGGTTGTAAGAGTTTGACCTGTATCCGGTCGGTCCCTTTCAAGAGGATTGGTGTGGATGCCTGTCCCTTGTTGGCCTGAGTGGACTTTTTTCGTCTAACCTTCGGTCAGCTAACTATCGGCCAGCTGGTGGTTTTTGGCTGGCCGGATTCACGAGGACTCATAGCTTTTCGTTTGAGGGATCTTCGTTATCTCTCTTAATCTTTTGACCATTAGATTGTCTTGAGATTCATTCAGATCATTTTTGGGTGTGCAGTTTTTATTGTTGTTCTCTCCCTCCTCATCAGCTAGAATGTTTTTTATCGCGTCATAATATGAACTTTACCATCGTTTCTGGATACCCAATTAATATATGATTCACTGTTTTCATATATTATTAAATAAATAGAAAGGTCATTGAACAACAGAGCATAATATACAGTGGGATACAAATATTGCATCTACACTTGATCTTCATCCATATGCTGGAATGACAATGATGTTTCCAAAATGCAATTAATGTAGCAATTTTATTGTTATAACTTGAATCCTTCTTTCAGGGTGCTGGATAATTTGAAAGACTATGCTGTTCGAGCCCTCGTCAATGCTGTCGATCACCTAGGAACTGTTGCTTACAAGTTGACAGATCTTTATGATCAACAAACAACAGACCTGTCAGCTGTGGATCTCAAGATATCATGTCTGAATCAGGTGAGTTATTTTAGATGGCTCAATGTGTCACCTCAAAGACTACACTGTGGTTGACTGATTGTTTTTAATGAGAAAAAGTGTCAAAAATACTCCCTCGACTCTTTACAAGGGTGCATTTTTGTCTGAGCTTATAAAATGTCAATTTTGTTTTCAGACTCTTTTAATATGACCTGAAATAGTCTCCACGAAGGACTATTTCAGCCCCAATTTAAAACTTTTATGGACTAGTTTGGCACTTTTATAACTTTGGGACTAAAATAGCCTTATGTAAATGGTCAAGGGACTTTTTTGACAACTCATTTTTAATCATACAGTGCATGCTTACATGCCAAAGCTATATGGAAAAAGAAGGCCTTAGGGAGCAGCAGTTATCAGGGAGAGCTCCAAGGCATCACAAACATTACATTTTACCGAGTATATCAATTAACTAATTGGTTCTTTTTCTTAAGATATTTTTGGGTAGAGTTTACTATTTATGTGGATATCTATGCTATAGGTTTTGTTGGCCAAAAAATGCAAAATATTCAACTTGATGCTGGACAAATGCACACTCAAGCGAAACCACGGCCTCATCTTCCAGGTCATATGAGTTTGTTTTTCTTTTTAATATGGGATATGTAGGGCTGCAAATAAACCGAGCCGAGCCGTGCCGAGCCGAGCCGAGCAATTTCCCGTTCAAGCTCGTTCATTATGAACTTCTTTGAGATCGACCTTTTAGATAATGTTCGAGCTTGAGCTCGTTTATATATTATTTGTTCGAGCTTGACTAAAGCTTGATTCAAGCTCAATTCATATACGGGATTATCAATCATATAAATGAGCATACCGTTTAACAAAATAAACGAAACCTAGCGTTACTTGAGTTTTATATGAGCAGTTTGTTGGAAAAAATAAATGAACCATATCTTCGTTGAGCATAAAAATAAACATTTAAATAATATCGATCCGTGATCAAGCTTATTCATAAGCTTTAAATAATATTGTTTATTAACATAAATGAATCAAACAATAAATTTTTCAAGCTTATTCATTTAGTAATCAAGTACTTATAAAATTGTTAATGCTCGTTTGATTAACCAAGCAATCAATAATGAGCTTTAATCGAGCCAAGCCACAAGTCACTTATCGAACACCCATTCATTTTCAGCCGTAGTGATATGATTCGTTAATTATCTTATTATTCTCAACGGGCTTGAATTATTGTCTAACTAATATTCTGATGAATCGATACTAGGCACTCCTGCTTCAAAAACACTCTCCTGGCATCTTTCCTCAGAAAATTATCCATCATCGAATGGAGTACCTAACGCATCAGAAGAGTAAGTTTCATAATTTTTTTTTTCTTTTTGCTCCACTAATGTCGAGTCCGTATAATTAACGGTATATTTTGTTTTTCTCAGCACTCCAGTTTCTAAATCTTTTAAAATGCCGACCAAGGCCTTTCGTCTACTGGGTACTTCACAAGTCCATCATTCTTTTCTTTGTGTTTATTATGCGTATAATAACCATTTCAAGGTTAAAATTTTTTTGATGTTAGTTTTTAGTGACGCAAATGATTCTTTGTTTTCTGTAAATTTCTATATATTGTAGAAGCTGAAGTGGCGGTGACACCAATGCCTTTGTCAAGACAATTTCGATCTACATCAGAGGCTGTACCAGTAAATTCATTTGGAATGAGGGTATGATTGAGTTGCTCATCCTTTTTTTTTGTCTGTGTTTATTTTGTGCCGTTTGTTTCATGTTTTATCATACTACTGTCACACATGTTTATCCTCTACTCTTGCTATTTTTAGGAAATTTTTGTGGTAGGAAATTACTTTTTTTCAACTAATTCTGCTAAAAATGCGTTAGTTATAAGGCAATTATTGTCTGTTTTTTAAATGTTCATAAATTTATAATACTAATAATAATTTTCAAAAAGTCACTTTCCTTGTAACAATGCTACAAGTATTTTTACAAACAACTGAAGTTACCTCAAACGACTTGAGACTTATACCATGTTTTTGCATTTTTTTTATCTTGACCGGGTGCCTTGTATATCCTTCTCAAATGCTCTATTTATTTACTTAACGTTGCTTGCTTATTTTTATAAAAAAAAGTTGATCCTATTCAGTATTTTTAGTATACAAAAAAAATTATTGTAGTGGCTAATAAACATGAGTAATGATAAATTCTTTGCCATTTTTTTTTGACAAATTTGATATCTTTATGCGTACCCTGTTTTGGGGTGTGGCTGGGAAGGTGAAGCATTGTCCCCATACTTCATATTTTTCTCAATGCTGCCAGAAACTTAAGATATTGCCTATCACAATGCTCAGCAAATTCAGCTCGGACTCGCTTCGCATTCAAAACCTAGCAAATTTGACATTCATAATCCATTTTTTGTTTCTTAAAGAAAGTCCTTGATGCTGACTATGCACGTAACTCTCCATTTAGAGGGTGATGTAGTGTAAACGAGCCTAGCTGAGCTCGGCTTGTCTATCGAATTGCAAACTCAAGCTTGAGTTCGAGTTGAGCATTAATGCGAGCTCGATCTCGGCTTGCAATGATGACATCAGGCTTAAGAGATCTAGCCAAAAATTAATTTATCATGGGAGATCGTCGGAGAAGGCACGATAGCCGGAGAAGAAGTGTCATGGTAAAAAGGCTTGGACGTGACGAGCCGAGCCTAATTAAGGGTCTGTTTGGCGCAGCTGCAGCTTCTCAGCTTTTCAGCTGCAGCTGCGCTGCCCCAGGGAGCCGCGGGCAGCTGCGGGGAAGCTGGTTGTCTGTTTGGTGCAGCTGCGTTAAACCAGCTGTCAGGCAGCTGTTTATGAAAAAAAGACAATAGTACCCTTGTTTTGTAAAATTGTTTAAAATAATAGTATAACAACCATCTGTTTATGAATAAGAACTTTGTATTTACATATCTAACACATAAACTGAAAAAAAAAGATCCATATGCAACACAATCTTATGTATTTACATATCTAACACATAAATTTTGAAGTTTTATGAATATTTACATAGCTCCCAAAGATACAGCACATCAGCAACAGATAAATAATTCCTTGGGCAGCAATAAGAAGCATGTCCTGTCGAATTAGAATTATGAATTTATGGAACTTATGGAACTTTATTCAACATCAGAGTTATGGCAAAAGCAACCTTTTCTCCACTAACCGCAAAGAGACTCTTCCTAAATCGCAAACAAAAATCTGATGATGGCCATTGTTCATCCTAAGAACAGATTAGAATCCATATTTTCTTTTTTATTTTAATCCATGGGAAGCCTTTTGTCGACTTCGATTAAATCTATCTAACACAAGTTAAGAAACATTATTTGTGTATATAAAAGTTATGAAGGAAACGGCATGCCAAAACAGGCCATAACTATGCCAAAATAAAACAAACGGCATGCCTTAAGAGTTGAAAGGGATGCCTAAAGACATATATGGAAAAGTTATGAAGGAATTGTACAATCAGAAGCTCATATTCATTTTAAGTTTAATCAAGCAGCAAATCCAATATCAATTCCCTACAACTGTCTCATGGAATAAGAAGTTAACCTCAAACACAGGATATTAAGTACTAAACATTAAGTGTGAAATATGTGAGATATGTGAGATAAATATGTAAATACATATTTCATACAGGATATTAGTACAAAATGCATTCAACAATTTTTTTCTTCCCATAAACTACAAAACGAACTTCTCAGATATTGCCAACCAATGAGTTCTGAAAGCTGCCTCTCAACTGCCATCTACAATTTTCAACAGAAAGGTGGAGTCCGCAAAGCAACAGGAAATGCAATGTATTTCAAGCTGCTTCATGTCAATGCAAGAAAATATAACAAAAAAAAAAATTACAATCTGGAGGATGTACATACAAACTACTCAATTTTTATGTATTTACATAACTAACACCAACACTTCAATTTTTTATGTGATACGAAAGATTTGGGTGGAAAATTTCAAGTGCAACATAACTACATGATGATAAATCAAACAAACCCATATGTTGGGTAGAATTTTGAAATCCATGAACACCAACAAATGCAAGAAAATCCATGAACACCAACAAATGCATCAAATTGGGATAATATTATAATCCTTCACACAAGAAACTTCAAATAGCTTTACAGAGACATGTTAAGAAAATTAACAATGGAGCAGCATTTAGAACATGGAAGGGAAATTACCAAGGTAACTACTCAACGCTTCCTAGGGAAAAAAAAAAAATCATCATGAAGTATGTAAAGAAAACAGAATAAGATTCTATAAGTGTAAGCATACTTCAATTTCACCACTTCAA